AAATCCCACCGGGAACCTCCCCAAAATCCACAGGGAACCCCTCCCCAAAATCCATCGGGACCCTCCCCAAAATCCCACCGGGAACCTCCCCAAAATCCATCCCGAACCCCAAAATCCATCCCGAACCCCAAAATCCATCCCGAACCCCCCCAAATTTATCCCGAACCCCCCAAATTTATCCCGAACCCCCCAAATTTATCCCGAACCCCCCAAATCCGTCCTGGACCCTCCCCCCAACCCACCGGGACCCTCCCCAAATTCACCGGAAACCTCCCCAAATCCTCAAACCCCCCCCCAAGACCCCCGACCCTTTTAGAGACCCCCCGCTATTTTTGGGGACCCCCCAGGGTTTCGGGGACCCCCTGAGACCCCCCCAAACCCCCCCAGACCCGTTAAAAGCCCCCCAAACCCCTCCCCAGGGTCCCCAAACAGCCCCGCCCAATGCCCTGGGTGGGTTCTACCCCAAACCCCCAGGACCCCCGACCCTTTTAGCGCCCCCCCGGGATTTTGGGGACCCCCCGGTATTTTTGGGGACCCCCCCGGGGTTTCGGGGACCCCCTGAGACCCCCGCGGACCCCCCAGGTGCGTGGGCAGCGGCTGCCGAGGCTGTGGACGGCTGTTACCTGCAGGCTCTCAGCGGCTTCGTGATGGTGCTGAGCGAGGGGGGGGACATGATTTACCTGTCCGAGAACGTCAGCCGCCTGCTGGGGCTCAGCCAGGTGCGCGGGGGGACCCCAAAACCCGCCGGGGGGGTCCCCAAAAATCCCCCGGGGGGGTCCCCAAAACCCGCCGGGGGGAGCGCAAAAACCCGCCGGGGGAGCGCAAAAAATTCCGTTTGGAGCGGCCCCGAAACGTCGCGAGAAGGGGGCAAAAAAAGGCCGGGAAGAGCCCCAAAAATGTGTCCCGGGGGTCCCCAAAATCTCCCGGGGGGGTCCCCAAAACTCGGTGGGGGGGGGTCCCCAAAAATCCCCCGGGGGGTCCCCAAAACCCTCCGGGGGAGCGCAAAAAATTCCGTTTGGAGCGGCCCCGAAATGTCACGAGAAGGGGGCAAAAAAGGCCGGGAAGAGCCCCAAAAATGTGTCCCGGGGGGGGTCCCCAAAATCTCCCGGGGGGGTCCCCAAAATCTGCCCCGGGGGGGTCCCCAAAATCCCCCGGGGGGGTCCCCAAAAATTCCATTTGGAGCGGCCCCGAAACGTCGCGAGGAGGGGGAAAAATGGACCTGGGGGGGTCTGAAAATGTGGGGAGGGGGCTCAAAAATCCCCCTGGGGGATCCCCAAAATCCATCGGGGGGGGTCCCCAAAATCCCCCTGGGGGGGGTCCCCAAAAACCTGCCCTGGGGGGGTCCCCCAAAATCCATGGGGGGGGGTGGGTCCCAAAACGTTTTTGTGGTGCCCGGAACTCCTCAGGGAGCCCCAAAAACCCCTCGGGGGGGCCCCAAATTTTACCCAAAATTCGGGGGGGGCGGGTCCCCGAAATTGGGGAGGGGTCCCCGAAATTGGGGAGGGGTCCCCGAAATTGGGGAGGGGTCTCGAGATGAGGGCGCGACCCCCCCGGGCCCCCCCAGCTGGAGCTGATCGGGCACAGCGCCTTCGACTTCGTGCACCCCTGCGACCACGAGGAGCTGCAGGACGCGCTGGGGCCGCGGCAGGGTGAGACCCCTCCCCAAATTAACCCCGGGACCCCTCCCCTAATTAATTAACCCCTCCCCTAATTAATTAACCCCGGGACCCCCGCCCCAAACTAACCCCGAGCTCCGAAAATGTCCCCGAGACCCCGAAAATGTCCCTGGGACCCTCCCCAAAATCATCCCTGAGCCCCCGGCAGGGTGAGACCCCTCCCCAAATTAACCCCGGGACCCCCTCCCCAAATTAATGAACCCCGAGACCTCTCCCCTAATTAATTAAACCCTGAGACCCCTCCCCAAATTTCCCCCCCCAGCGCTGCCCCCATAGCGGGGGGGGCGCTCCGAGCATCGAGAGCCCCCAGACCCCAAAATCCCCCCAAAATCCCCCCAAAATCCCCCAAAATCCCCCAAAATCCCCCCAAATCCGGGACCCCCCGACCCCCGAGACCCCTCCCCAATTCCGGGACCCTCCCCAGGGGGTCTCCGGCGGCGGGGGGAGCGCTCGGGCCTCAGTTTCTCCCTGCGCATGAAGAGCCCCCAGAGCGCTCAAATCCCCCCAAAATCCCCCAAAATCCCCCAAAATCCCCCCAAATCCGGGACCCCCCGACCCCCGAGACCCCTCCCCAATTCCCGAGACCCCTCCCCAATTCCGGGACCCTCCCCAGGGGGTCTCCGGCGGCGGGGGGAGCGCTCGGGCCTCAGTTTCTCCCTGCGCATGAAGAGCCCCCAGACCCCCAAAATCCCCCCAAAATCCCCCAAAATCCCCCAAAATCCCCCCAAATCCGGGACCCCCCGACCCCCGAGACCCCTCCCCAATTCCGGGACCCTCCCCAGGGGGTCTCCGGCGGCGGGGGGAGCGCTCGGGCCTCAGTTTCTCCCTGCGCATGAAGAGCACCCTGAGCGGCCGCGGGCGCTGCCTCAACCTGAAAGCGGCGTCCTGGAAGGTGCGGGGGGAAATTGGGGGAAAATTGGGGGATTT